TCTACAAAACAGTTGCATATTTCCCAGACGCGCTGTACATGACAGAACAAGACCTTGAAGAAAATATAACACTAAGAGAACCCACCAAGACAGCAAGCCAGTATCTGTTCCCATCTACAGTTAGAGCTGCTTTATTTCCAAAATCCATCAATATTTAATGATGAATTTCCTATTACTGAATTTTGATATTCATGCCTTCAAAATTGTACCTCAAGACTTGAGCAGAATTTAAAAAATGAATCAAAGTGATTTGGAATATCCTCCAGCTCTTCAACATTTCAGACTATAAGGCTTCCTAGGTTTCCTACATCTGGATAGCTTTACCTGCTTCAGAAGCAAAGGTGGCTGAGCTGTGCATCTCTCTCATCTAAGCTTCACCACGATACAGAGTGTGAGTGTGCCTTATTCTGTCAGATCACTAGAGGGTTTGATTCCTTAAATATTTCTGGCACAGACTGACAGCACTGCATTTAGCACTCCAGGGGCTGCTCATGCATTTGCACTCAAGACCGGTCAGGTAAAAGGGGTAAACAGAACCGGAGCTTGGTCTGGAACCCAAAACCTGTCGCTTGCTAGAGCGCTCTATTCCCTCACATTCAGAATTTATCTCTGGCTTCCCTCTTATTTTCTTGTACATTGTGCCAACTCTTAAAAAGGATGCTGTAACTTTACGTGGTAACTTCGATGGTACTATCGCTTTACACTTTTCTTTGCCATACAGGGGCTTTAGCTTACAAATCTTAAGCATGCGCACCGTGTCTGGACTTACTAATTTGTGCACTGTGTATCATTTATTTCCAACAAATAATGCCAATCTTTTTGTGTAACTGAAAATATATCATAATGTAGGGTAACAAATTAATTTCATTTTCTATTTTGGCTACCTGTTTCACATCAGACACCTAAGAACTACCTGAAACCATTTTTTAGTATAAGAACAGGTAACTGTAATAAATTACAGTCACAGAACTTTCATTAACGTAAAATAAAAGATTTTTGCAATTTATTACTGATTTTTTTATTAGAAAGCAGCAATGAATCAAATATAAAAATAATTCAAACTAGGTATTTGTACAATGAAATGTCATAAAGAATTGAAGGGGTACATACATCTTTACTGCAAGCCACGTTAGGACTACTGAATATAAAGATCATGTACACACCAAGAATACAGACTCTAACTCTCATTGTCGGTATCGAAAAAAGACTTCAAGTGACAAAATTTAAATGAATAATTGGTATTAGGAATGTTTTTTTAAGAAGAAAAAGTACAATAATTAATTATAAAAAAATATGATCATTGTCAAACTATTGCCCATCAACAACCGACATACCACACTTCGGACACAAAAATAAACTAGAGCGAGGGTCAATCACAGAGTAAATCTGCATTAGATGGAAATCTTTTTAATGCCACAATAACAAAAACGCAACAGATTCCAAAATAAGTAATATGTAAGACGTAGGAACATCTTTATTAAGCACTTATACTATGGCAAATATCCATAGTCATTTTGCTATACATAGATCATTTTCTTATATAATCAGAATACTTTATACCTCCCTGCATTCTACATCTCTGACTCCAAGAATTTTTTGAAAATTAGGACTGGAGAAGAACATGTGGAATCAGCTAGTCCGCTGCCCTTTTCCAAAGTTAGAGAAGTTTGAAAATTTTAAAAATATAGTGTAGGTGATAATGCAGATTTCATAATGTCTTTAGGCAATCTATTTCACAGTTTAACCAGTAGAAGGTTTTCCTTGTATTCCACCTTAATCTTTCTTGTTGCAACCTAATCCCATTACTTCTTCCTCAGCCAAAGTGAGGGCTTGGGGGAAGGCACTTTATCATCATTCTCTCTTTTCTGCTTCCTTTCGCAAATTTAAAGTCTGTTATTATGCCTCCATCTTTTCTTTGTCCTTCTTTTTAGCTTTGTCACATCTACTAAGCCTGCACCATATCAGGATGCAAAGTGAGTCCTTAGGTTTGTTTTAAAGCTATTGAAATGTCAGCAATCATAGTGAGTGAAAATCCAGAAAAGTCAATTTTTTTTATCCATTCTTCAATCACAACTATTCAAAACCTTCTGAAACATGAATTATATCTTTTTCCTATAACAACTGTTACTCATCCCGTAGTAATTTCATAGCATAACACTATGCAATACCACTATGAATGTATCAGTTATCTGATATTGTAAAGGCATCATTATTCCCAGAGTAGAATAAGGAAAATGGTTATATTTGTACAGAGTTTTCCATCCCCAGACAAAGGTCAGAACAGAATTGATCACTCAGGGTGGACAGTCAGCTTCTTTCTCAACTTTTTGAATGATCTCCTAGAAGTATAAACAGAAATGATTTAGGAAAGGATTGGCATAGTTAGGGAAAAAATAAAGTTTTCCAAGGACTGAAAGACTTGCTATGCATCTCCTTCTCCTTTCTTTCAAGATCATCAGGGATCTAAGGAGAAACAAAGGCTAATCCAGCCTATAAAAGAAAAGGAAGTTTTTCTTGCAAATCTTTGTAATCTATATCACCAATAGTCTAACTAAGTTGGGAGGTCAGATTTTACCTATATGTATCACAGCAGCAGAACAGATAATATATGTACTGAATACATAAGTACTTTTGTCAGGACACTGGGAAAAAAAATATTTTATGTAATATGTCATGAGTATGTTAAGAGGATAATTCTTACTTTTTCTCCTAGTGTACACCACTTTGCCTCCCAGCGGTAGAGATCGAGTACAACCTCTTTTCCCAGCTTCAACTGCGCTCCAATTCATAACCAAGTTACACCCTTGTAACTATAGCAACTTGTTATATAACGAATATTGGAGTATTACAGATGTACTTTAAGAGTTACATCATTATCTTCTCATTCCTTTAAAAAAAATTTTCAGTCTGGATCCTCAAATAAATAACTCAGGAGCTCTGAGGAAAAAATGCACCGTGTGCTCAGGCAGTCTCAAACCTCGTACAGAAGGATGAGTGTTAGTAGAAAAGAAACGTTGGTAGGGTCCAGCCAGAAACTCGGCTGACAGCAGCGAAGTGACACAGGAAAGGACTATGAGGATGACTGATTTTTTTTTTCAGTTCTTCATGATTTTTTTTTTCTTTGATGGCTATTCCATGCCATTTCCTGGCTCATTTTCTAATTATTTCAGTCAAACTTAAGTTCAGCTTCTGACCGGGTTGCCCTTTCTTCCACTCATATTTTTTCCTTATGCTTTTACTTTAATTATAGTTTTAATTTGCAGCTAGTTTCAATTTTTTTCTGTGTTACCAAAAGCATTACCAGAATGAAGGAGAAAAAAAATTAAAAATAGAACCATCTCTTTCTTACTTTATATTTGTACACTGCCTGATCTCAACTATGGTTCCAAAATCCTCTTAAATCCAAGTAAAATTGATTTGACTTATCTATGGATCGCTGTGGGTTTTTTTCCTGCAGAAATCCCTGGCCCACAATTTGGGCACCTCTACCACAGGAACAAAAATCATGATACTGAAGAAAATCTAACAGTTCATAATGACTACATTCATCAAAATGTCTTAAGGACTTAAACAGATTTATGGGCTCTGTATTACAAAATATAATACACCAATGCAGATAAAGCCTCAAAATAATTATCATCTTTATTTTTTAAAGCATTCCTTACTCTAAATAGCTCCTGTTAAAATCATGTCTACCAATAAAAATATGTACTCTTACAGACTAGGACTGAAAAAACAAGTCATAAAATTTATAATTTTACTGGTCTTATAAATTGATTTTAGCCATTATTGCACTACACATAATTCACTAAAGGTGATGGAACGCTTATTTGGTTGATAGCTAATGTATCCCTGAAAAATAAAAGCTATATTAATACATCATTTTGCCATAAAGGTGATATAGACAGCAAAAGAATATTTTGTCAACTTCATGAAATAAGAGAACTATTAAGAATTATTTAAAGGATCATAAAGCACCAGCAAAATGTACAATTGTCAATAGGGGTAGACATTAATCTTTCCATCCCCTTGAACACACTTTCTACATATTATGCTTGCATTTACCAGATGTGGAGCTTTATGCATTGACTACTGCATATTAAAGTGCTGAGGAACAAGTGAACCCTTTAAATGAATAAATATTCCTTGAGAAACAAAGGTCCAGTTAAAGAAACATCAGTAATAGAGAAGAAAAAGTCATGGGAAAAAACTTTCTAGCACCCTCCTAGATTCAATCTCAACTACCTTAATGACTTTTCATATTGAATATATCCCCCTTTCCCCCATTTAATTTTAAGGGAAGGAGTTACTGTCAACTTTAAAATAACCCATGCAAGGAAAAAAGCAGCCCTACAGCAATATACAAAAACCATCTGGATTATTAGACTTCATTCTCTCTTTCACTTCAACGAGAATCCTCCAATGCAGCAATTACATAATAAACAGATTGAATAGGTTAGGGTACCTTACAATCCTCAGTGTACCAGGCTTTTCTGTTTAAACTATACATGAATAAGACTTGTTGGTCTGTTAAATGCAGACGAACTTTTCCACTAGCATCACACACTTATACAAATCAGTGCTATCAGACATTATGGTAGGTACTGAACTTCATTTATAAGTACCTTCTCACTGCTTTTAAGAGGATTGTTTACGTGGAATGAAGTGATGCCTCTCTGAAATACCAGGATTTAAGGTGTCGCTCCCACAAGACAGTTTCTTTCTCCTCCTTTCCCTAACTGGGAGAGCATCTTTAAATTACCATCTTGTTCTTAGAGAATCCAGACAACTGCAAAATTAGGATTCTGAATGCAAAGTTTCTCTTAAAAATATTAATCTGATTTTGAATCATTAACTTAGCTGATCAACTCATCTGTATTACCAAATAAACATTTAACCTTTAAGGAAGAGTTAATTTCATGTTACATTTAAAAAGTTAAATTCATATTACATAAAATGTCGTTTCAATTTTTTTTTTTCCTCCCAGCAGGATGACTTACCTGTACACTGTCCTCCATTTGTGGGATCCCCATAATATCCTGGCATGCACGTTTCACATTGTTTTCCTGTTGTTAAGTTTCTACATTGATCACAGACATTACTGTTGATGCAGGTGCTGTGGCCATTACACTGGCAAGCTAGAATATAACATTTAAAAAGCCATTACTAAATTGCTCTTGGGAACAAAATCATTCCTACATGATTACAAAATTGCAGTAGAATGTAATCCTGACTAATGACCAGCATGTATATTTGTAGTTTGACACAACCTCTTCAAAATAGCATAGTGACAAGACATAAATTCACACAGAAGACCACAGAAGTTGACTATGGAGTGACATGTGAGTTTAAGGTGTGTGAGAAAATCTTTTTTGCCATTGTGAATGACTGATTCCAGTCCTCATAGCTTTAAAATGCTGCCCAGTCACTTAATAAACCGGTCAAGAGGCAGCAAGTCACCAACTGAGACCAAATGAAAACCTTCATACCTACATGCAATCTGTTGTGAAGCATTTGAACGGTTACTGTGATGGAGAACATGAACAACATACTCAAACTCAAATCTACTGGGGAGAGAGAACTTACAAAAAAAAGAAAACCAAAATATCATCTTATTTTTAACAGTTCTGATCCCCCCATTAGCTTTGACACACTAAGGGGTTTTAAGGACATCAGGACCACATCAAACATCTCCAGTCCCTCCTCACTACGGTTGACTTTGGTGAAAGTAAAAAAACTGGACTCCTATTGACATAAATTTTTTACATCTGACCCTAAAAGCATAACATTTCTTTTTGTCAAACAACAACGCTACAAACCACTGATCTTGTACTACACCTCCTCTCCAGTGCTCCATGTTTTGGAGAAACTCAGAAAGTACTGATCACTATTGCAGCAAAATCACAATGTGAATTCTGCCAGAATTGTTGATCCTGCTGCCAGGACTTGGCTGAACGACCAAGAGGTTTTGAAGGATGACCTCTCTATAGAGTGGCACCTCAGAGCTCATAGTGCTCAGCAGATTAGCAATCTGTCATTACAGCAGCTTGTCAAATGTCAAACTACGTCAAACCTGTCGATCCCTTACTGGCAAAGGGTGAGTAAGACTCAGCAGAGGACAGCTATCTCAGTAACATCATTCTGCTTATTTTTTATTTGGATTCTTAATCTAAATGTCACAGTGATGGGTGTGTGTGTGTTTTTTTTGGGGGGGGGGGGGGAAGAGATTCTCACTGCATGACTTAAAAGTTTTCAGAGCTGTTTTAGAATTTAGTAACTTAATACATTTACAATCATTGCCAGGCTTGGCTCATAAACCATTAAACCTCCCAAGTTTACAATCTCTTCCTTTTTCTGTAGCTATGCCTACAGAATCTTGTAAACAAGTATCAACCATTTCTGTACTACTAAACAAGAAGTTTTCTCACTGTCTTGAATAAATCTCGTTAGAAATTACAAGTTTTCTTCTTCCTAAGAATACTTGCTTTTTAGACAACTTTGTAGTGTCTTCCTCCAGGCAGTTTGCTGTTCTGCACTGTTGCCTTTCTCAGAAAAAGCTACATGAAAATGCCATGAATTGCAGCCCCATTTTGGGTTTCGTTTGTATGTCTTACACATTAAATGACTTAAAGCAAATGTTAATAAAAAAAATGCAACCCAATAAACCAAAAGTAAAAACAGATAGCCCATTAAATAGGTGTTCTATTAAAGTAAAGTAAGATTGCCTAATTAAGACTGTACCATAAGGTAGGGAAAATGTTTCATTCTGACATTCTCCAATAGTAGGTCACTGATTTATAAATTTTCTAGTCTTTCTATTTCTTAATTTTGGTGTTATTTAAAGGATAAATGAAAGCAACCTTAATTAATCAGGTTTTTTATTGTGAATTTTAGTTTGCTGCAAGTCATAATATTATCTGGTCACATATAATAGCTCTTAATTCTTACATTTTGTTAAAGCAAAGAAACGGAAGGGATTTTAAATCAAATTCAAAAATATATATATAAGAACCAATACAATCTACAATTGACATGACACACCATTTAAAAATGATATTATATATTTGCTGATTTTCCTAATATGTATCTCATTGAGAAAAGTGAAAAGCCAGAACTGCACAATTCAAGAACTTTCTGTGATGCAGATGAGTGCAATCAAACTGGCTACAGCAGTATTAAATAATTAAAAAAAGTTAAAATCATGAGATGCTGTAACGATCATTTAAATAAGAACTAGGAGTTAAATTTTAAGTAGTCATTTTTTCCTTAAGTGATTTTAATGTACATCACTGGCAGCAACAGAGTAATTTTCCTCACATATACAAATGTAATTTAGCTGAATCTTCAGTGGGGCTGCCCTGAAGATAAGCAATTAATATGTCTAATTTGCTTTTGACCTCTGTGTTGAAATGGTTGGTGATGCTGACAAATGTTGATAATTATAGTTTTGAGAAATAATTAATACTAGGAAAAATATATAAAAAGCATGTCTGCATTACAGTCTGGATCTAGTGTAAAGATACTTCAAACAGTTTTAAACAAACTAGTTAGAATCGATTCACACCATTTTTCAGAGGAGAAATTTAGGCTTTAAAGACAAACTTGGGCTTGCATTCTACCTAAACTGCTCTTCTTGTGAGAGTAAATCCCAGTACTATTTATTTTCCTTCTTTTTTTTAATATAAGGTATTTGTAATTTTATTTATAATATTAGTTGTTACAAATACAAATCTGATGAAAAAATAAAAATGTATTCATATCAAAAGAAATATTACGACAGTTGTTTTGAGGAATATTGATTTCAAAATGACCAGTAACAAAAAGAAACAATTTTTTATCCTACCTGTTTAATACTAGTTTTAAAAATTTGAACAAACAGAAAATGAGAATGAGTTTACAATACTTATCAACAACATAATTGCCCAGAGGCACACTAAAGAGCATGGATATGAACTACAAGAAAAACTAAGTGCATACATGAATGGTTTAGCCAACTACTCATCAATGTGGCAGAACAATCTTCAAAGTATATGTTATAACCTATTTATTTTTATTTTCATCCAAACAACAAACTGTTCAGTAAGTTTATATACATTTAGTATCAATTCTATCTTATTTCAAGTACATCAAATGATTGCTGTGCTAAGAATAATAAACTGTGTTAGTATAATCCATTACAGATACTATTTTAAGAAAACGAAAACAAAAGCTTAGGAACAAAACCTACATCCGATAACAATCAAAATGAAATTTCACATCAATTGAAATTTTAATTCTATGACTTCTGTAGGATTTGCCTCAAACTCGTAAAACTAGTGGGTTTTTAAAATAAAGTGGAACTTCAGTGAATTCTTGGTCAGAACATACAGTAAATACAGAATTTTATCCATGAAGAATAAATATTAAACAAATAAGGTGATGAAAACTTCAAACTCAAACATTTTAGACAAGCAATATATATATATCCATTACAGTTTCACCAGTGGTAGATACTATGTATTGCAGTGAAAGTCTAACAATGCACTTATCAGCATAGTCTGTATGTTAAAATACAGACTAAGTACTGAAGTTTCCATACAATGTAATGTCATTCTATTGTTTCCAGAAATTTACTACAGGCTTCTTTGCTCAGGAAATGGTATTAGATGGTTTGGAGTTTTTTTGGTTTTAACTTAGAACATTTGACAGTGTTCACTTGGTTTTACATTTCACTTTATTATTCTAAAACTTAAAAAAAAAATCTACTCTTTACCTATGTATTTTAAAAAAGTTACCAAAACAAAATTGTCTTCCGAGATTCTGCCTGCTAAATAATACACTGATACACACACTTACATATAAATATATATAAAAACTCACATTTATATGCATACACACACACAGAATACACTGATAAAAAAAAGTACCCAGGAGAGAAAACAAACATAGCTGCATGTACCCATAAAAGTTTTGATCCTAGAGAAGCTCCAGCTTCCAAATTTATCAGCAATAGGAACACTTGCTGGAAAAATAACTTTAGCACAATTACACCATTTATTCTACAAAAAGTTTTCAAGCTGTCTTGAAATGTACTATTTATTATAAATTACCACTGGAGGTCTGTCCAACTCCCCAGTATGCTTTTCATTTTCCTGCATTACTACACCACTGCAATGACACAGCTTTCAGGATTTGAGTATTTCCATACAGGAGGCTGTACCAGCTCAGCTTCCACTGTCTTAAAGTACCTGATGTCTTCCTTACTTTTCCAATGAACTTAAAAATTAAAATACTATAATCAGATTGGTATGGCTTAAATTTAGACTTCAGAGATTCTCTTGAAGATTATAAAAGCATACATTCTATTTACTCAAAATGTCTAAAAGGTAGACTGGAGGCACAGCTCAGATATTTGGTAGCCCCTCCATTCTCACAGCCAGGAGACTTTTGCATGAACAGCAGGGACGCAGGAAGTCCCTGCTCCTGGCCATCAGCAGTTGCCTATAGATAATTTCTCCCCACTTGTCTTTGATGGATACAGAAGCCAGAAGAAAGCAAAAGCTGAAGCTGAAGCAAAATCCACGTAATTGGATTTGAAAAAGTAGAAGGATGGGATGGGTGAAAATAAATGGTAATTTCGGTTAAACTATTTGCATTAAATTTCTCATGTGAACCTGCATGACAGTGAGCACATTTGTATTCAGTAGACAGAGACTAACAAACTATGTATTTAGGAAATATTTTAGAAAAACAAATCTCTTGTGCAAGTGTTATTTCTATTACTCAAAATAATTATGTTAATTTGGCATGCTTTAACAGAGAAACATCTCTTATTTCATACATAAGAAAGAATGGAAGCAGACCTTACCTGGACACTGGATAAAAGACCACTCATAATTTTTCTCTTTTGGACAAAGACTAGCATCAAGCACCATTTCATTAGAGTGCATGCCAGCAGGCTTCATTGGGCCTCTTGATGATCCTTCCAAACATTGCCCTTTTCCAGTGTTACTGGGATCGTTACACCATCCACACCCAGGCTGTTCCAAACACTGTCCGCAGGTCCTCAGTCCAGAGCAGTTTTGAGCTTTATTACATGGAATACAATATTAATGCAAGGAGGTTTTTTGTTTTGCGTTTTAGTTGGTGGTTTGTTTGGGGTTTTTTTTAAATAATCTATTAAATGGAATCATGACCTAATTATGACCCTAAAGCAAGTTGCTTCTTGTTGGACATCATCATCAATCCTGCCACAACATATCCAGAAATAAAATGTTCCAGAGATGCTGATATCAAAAGACCCTTAGAGAGGGAAAGGAAGTCGCAAGTAACTAGAAAAACACTCTCGCAGAGAAGAGCAATAATGAGAGTTCAACGGTACCCTTTAGAAGCCCTATATATTGTTTGGATTGGAGTCCTTTACAGGTAGGAAATATTGTAATCAAATCTTGAAGGACAGTAAAAATACTAAGAACCAGTCTTCTGTAGGATGGCAACTGAGGAATTTTTCTAAATAAACCATGACTGAGACAAGAATCTAAGGCACCAGGCAACATCTATGTGAATTATGGCACCAATATACACTGGAACTGCATGGTGCTGAACTCAACAAGGTCCAGTCACTACGGACTTGGGAAGAACTAGCTTCTGCTGAATGCTATACTGAAAGGTACACTGAGTAGGTTTCTTATTCACCTAGAGAGGCATTGTATCAATTTCTGATGAAATGTGCTTCCAAAGGGGAACATCTGGGGAGTACTTTCGCTGCTTGACACAGAACTCACCTGCCTTGTTTTTAACTTTGCATGCTAGGAAAATGTTCTTCTTTGAATCTACTGACAAAATAAACCAGAATCTTAAAAACTCTGAATTCAGCTCATCTCCTTTTTTTACTAACTAGATGTGGTATAAGTCTAAAGTCTGCATATTATTTCTCTAATTTTAACAGTATGTTGTTCCAACTCATGGCCATTATTTGACACACTAATGCTGGTCGCACAAATAACCATGGTATTTTTTCTTTATCTGAAAATAATAAACACTTTTTACTATCTGTTTTAACAGACTAAATATGTTTCATCATAAAAAAATTACCAATATTTTATCTGTATCTAGAAAATACACAGTACTGACAGCTCACATTAGTAGCTATATAAGTTGATTCATCTGAAATTATTTTTATCTTTAGTGAACGTGCTGAATCCTATTCATACAGATGCTCTTTTGAGTGGAAAAAATACAGTGGTATATTTAATAGAATGAACGTTCATTAAGATACTCACGGGAGCATGTGGCAGTTTGCCATTCTAGACACTGTCCATATGGGAAGGAGATTATATAAGCGTTTGAGTCAACGCATCGTTTTGTACTGCTACACCACATACATTCCATACCATTACTCGTGCAGTTAGAACATGTTGTTCGCAGGGAGCATGGCTTTTTGCAGGGTCTGGCATTCTGGTTGGGACTAACTGGAAAAGAACCACAAACATTTATAATTTTGAACATAAGTGCAATCTCTTTTTTCTTTAATCATATGTTCCATTAGAAAAATCCTTGTTAAAGTGAATGTGGTTGCTTCCTTAACTAGCTATAAACAATTTAGTCCACACTTACAGTGCAGTATATAAATACAATAATATTTTACAAAAATTATTAATACTCAGCATAAGTCATACTAGAGCTCTAAAAGAGTCCATTTAAAAATTTTCACAGCAATTTTATCTATATACCAAAATAGTAAGTTTAATATTCATTGCCTGGTAACGTCAGCTTAGTTACTACCACATACATGACATAAAGTAAGTCTCAAGCTTCTATAGCAAGTACAGTAGAGTTCTGGGTCTATTGTTCTCATTAGTTTAACAGTGTACAAGCAACAAATATTCTACTTACAACTGATCCCCTAAAATTTTGCCTTATAGTGTCCATATGAAAGTCACTAGAATCCAAAGGGAAAGTAACAAAAGAAACATCGTTCAATGCAAAACAGATTTGGTTGGGGTTTTTTTTGTTGGTTGGTTTTTGGGTTTTATTTGTTTTTCTCTACTAGAGATGACATTTTGACTAGGTTAGTGGTGTATGCCATCTCAAAAAGTTGTAACACACAAAAAGAACTTGTATACCTTAACTCCTGATTTTTGCTTTGATTTCAAATAAAACTGTAAAGTGTACAAGAACAAGAGTATAGTAATTCTTTGGTAGGAACACAAAAGTATAGATAGCATTATATTTTCCATACAGAAGCACCTTGTGAAACACTGGGATTAAGCCTTCCTATGTATTGCCATGTTTTTGTATATTATTGACTCATATTCAATACAAGCGAAGTTTTCAAGCCATTCTTCATCTGCTAATATAGTACGCCAAATCACCTAACCAAGGCTGTTCCTGGATTTGACCTACTATGTACGTATTCAAGCTGTGGTTTGCAATTAGTAAAAAATACAAAGAAAAAACTAACAAAAATCAGCTGAACTATAAAAGTATTCTCATAAGGCCAAAGTACTTTGACTTCTACAGTTTTGAAGCACCTCAAGATCAAAAAAAACTAAAACAAGACACTAGTCACAGATGCATATGTTGATCTAATTGTAAAATACTGCATCTTAATAACGTCATTTGTGTTCCACCTAGTGTATGCTTTACATTTTGAGATGTTTCTTCTGTTGTGACTATATTTTTTACTATTCTGAGAAACATCTGGTAAATAATTAACTATTAACTCAAAATTAAGAACACTGCGAAAGATTAATTTTTTAGGAAATATAGATGGCAATAGCAACAAGTGTACAACATATACTTTGCAATTATATTACTATTTGGAATTGCTTATAAGAAAATAAAGGATCGGTAAGATCATGCTTTGGTTTTGCAGGTTAACAACTCTGACAATTTCACAGCAAAACCATTAGATTGATAGGCCGCGCTCCCAACACACCAACAATGCAGCTATTTTCCAGTTTTGCACAGACAATGCACAAAATAAATCTGAACGGGAAATTTAAAGAACTTCATGTGCTCAACCTCACAGCTATGAAGAGAAACATAGGACAACTGGAGCATGAAAATGCTAATTTGAACTCTCATGTGGCTACTTGCCACAATAATCTTTACACACAAACAAAGCCAAAAGATGGAAACAAGAATTTTGGTTTTGTCAGCCTTTTAGACCATTAAAATATTCATTGAAGTTCAGCAAGATTCAGAAAGAAAACATCAGCCTTGTTGAATGCCTCCACAGACACTTTCATGCTACAATCACTGTTGTCACTGACTACTACTGATTTAGAGACAACATAAGACTTCTGGTGTAATGCAAACTAAGCTATGTAAACTAAATCACAAATTAATATTTGCTGCTTTAGGAATATTATTTGTTTTCTAGATTAAAGCTCCCTATTTTACAAAGAAAAATTTACTTTTTTATTTTTTGAAATTATTTAATCCAAATTGTCCAAAAGTCCCTCTTAGCCAAATGAAAACCCAAACAGCTTGCTAATCATGACAGTAACAGTAACTGAGTACAAGAGATTGCTTACCGACAGGTTTTTCACACACAAGACCATCTGCCATTGCAGTGCACGGATTCGCTTTCAGACCTGCCACCTCTGCTCTTTCTAGATATGCACAGAAGCCAGAGTCATTTGGCTCTCCAGGAAGCCACTGCAGAGTTGTATTTGTAAAAGGAGACATGTCATCCCATCCCCAGTAGGAGATGTTGATCTTGCGTAAACCTACCCAAGGTGAAATTTTCTATGAATCAGAATGAAACAAATGTGAGATAGTTAGTTCTTTGGGGTTTGGGGTGGGTTTTTTTGTTAAAACATTTCAAAGAATAGCTCAGCAGCAACAATTTCACATTTTGAGAGAATTCACCATGTTCTTTTCTCACTTTATCATCTCATCAGTCATTGTCCATACAGTTTTTATCTTAATTGATCTACCTTGCTGAATCTCCCCCCCAAAAAAACCCCACCCAACACTATAAGCTTCTGTTCTACTAAAAATCTGTGTTTGTTCTGTTCAAAGTGAATTCTGATTACTATTATTTGATACAGAGACAGAAACCAGGTCAAATGGTTGTAATAAAATTATTGGTTTTTTTTCCAGTGACTACTATACTGATTACTAATTGCTAGGCCAATGTGGGTAATAAAATACACGTAAGTTAGCAGCAATTCACAGAAATCAAAGTTCAGGAAAAAACAGGATAAATATTCCATCCTCTAAAATCTGTATTGCTGACACTGATCAATATCTTTAGGCAATTCAGAGACAGAGACGAAAGTGGCACATCCACAACTCCAATGCCATTAAATACACACTGAATACACTTTTATTATTGATTTCTAAGCTATAAAACAACTAGACTAGCAAACATAAAAAGCATTAATTTTCAAGAATTATTTAGGATGTATCAGTAACATTACATCACACAAATTCTACTCATTTTTATCATTTTGTCTTTATACAATTACCAAGAGAAAAAGCAGATTTTGAGGAATAAAGGCCTTTGCCTGTTCCAGGATAAACCTACATACATTTCTTGTTCCCATCACTGTAAAAATCTCAAGATACCAAAACCAAACACATTTCCTCATGCAATCTCTGTGCAGGCAGTTTTCATTAACCCATTTAAACATAAGGAACAGAGTTATAGAGGGACTATGGGCTGTGACAGGTATGTGGTTGGTAGGTGAATACCAGAGAGCCAAACACCACAGCTATCTGCACCAGGCAAAGGACAGATGCTGTCAGCTCCAAAGCAGAGATGTTTATCTGATTGTGCATTAGGTTCTCAACTGATTTAATTTACAAGCCAAGGTACATAAAACACTGTAATATACCTAAAGGGAACCTGCCACAGTTCAAGATCTATGTGGTATTTCACAAGTGAGCCAGGAGTCACTGCCATCATCTCAGAGAGACCTTTCATCTTTGACTTCACGTCTTTCTTTGGCCACTCAGGTCTAATCCATGGCTGAAAAATCTTTCAGAGCTCTTAAATCTACACCTGATCAGAGCATTCCTCATAGACCAAACTGAAATATGAAGGACTATTAATTTTGCTTCAGAAATACCAGTGGTAATTACTTTTTAAAAAAAAATCAGCAGGTAGATAACCAGTATTCCTGACCTCCCTAAAATGTACTCCCTATGTTCTCTTCTTTTTTGGTCCTATCAGTTGGGAGCATGATTAAACAAAAATTGCTATGGCAACTAACAGACTTACAGATGCAAGAACAGACTTAAATAAACCAGAAAACGACTAAGAAATGTTCCATTCCATAAGCAGTGATGCACTCTGGAAGACTCTTGAACAGCAACAAGAACATCCAGCAAGAATGCCACTGCCCACTCTTGCATCTTCTGTATTTACTACATAAATTCATTGCTACCCCAGGTGACCAACTTTCCAGGTGTGTGTGAGAGCTCCCACGTTCTGGATACTAGAAAGGACATGATGCAAGCAGTAAAAGTGGAACTTGGGCATCTGGAAAGTGGTAGATGATACATCTGTTGTCTCATTTGTTATTTAGTTGCCTAGATTGCTGTATATGTACGTGGTCCACATGCATCAGAAAACCTTAGATATTTATGCATGCGTCTAGACATCTCTCTGTAGAACGCTAAGCGTGTACACCAGGCACATACAAAAAAATGTCAGGGGCTTAGGCAGGATAAATGGCTGACAAACACAGACCTAAAACAACCCTAAATGCCTACTTTGGGGCTGAGGAATTCTAGCCAAGAGAACCTTCAACATGTTACTGACTCTTTCAATTGCACTGCCAAATAATTTGGCCTCAGCATCAGTATATAGAAAACAGAGATCTTACTCCAGCTATAGTGAAAAGCATGTCAGGCCAATAATGAAAACAGTGCAGCAGTGACATTTGGAGATAAAAGTCTTCTATTTGAGTAGGAGAGTGTCTCAGAACCCCTTTAATGATAACAAAGTCCCAGGGAGGATCATGAAAGCCAGAGCAGCCTTAGGAAATAAAAGCAGCACCCCTGAAGTGAATGACTTCTAGCAAAAGCAACACATATCGTAGTCATCATCATTCTTAATAGCTGTAATATCTGGACAACTTATAGTCATCGTGTCAGATATCTCAAATTCCATATGTACCATCTTTGGCTCTTTGCTAGTGTAACACATCAAAATACAGACCTGAACACTGATTATCATGCTGTCAAATACACACCATCAAAGCTACCGCCTTGCAGGCTCACTTGTGCTGCTTGGGGCATGTTGTTAAGATGCCAAAAACAGATTATTCAAAATATTTTTTTTAATGTCTGATTAAAATATGGTAAATAGCTGAGAAGTAGGCCACCAAAATGCTCCAAGGACATGCTTAAAGCACATATTCAACTATGTGGCATTAATTCCATGATGTGGTGGACTACAGCTGAAGACTGCTGGTGATAGCAGAGATTGCATGTTGGTATCACCAAAGCTTATCAGCAAAAATGACTGCTGCTGCACTGCACGAAAGCCAACAGGAAAAAACAAATAGTGAATTCAGGAAGTTCCACCTGTGACACCTGCCGCCACCAGTGTGCTGTGACTATCAAACTAATTTCTTCACAAAAAAAGCATAAATCTAATCCTTATCTCTCAAACTGATGAAAGGTTCAGTCATAATAGCTGGGAGTCTCAAAGTATTTGAAGCAACTGAGGGACTTCAAAGGTGCCAAATAAGAATGCCAATCCAGTTTCTTCTTCAGGCTTAAGAAATAACAAGAGTTAAACATCCTTCATTTGAATTCTATGGTTGTGTCATTTAATGCAAAATGAATGTAGGAAACTGATTCCTTTGCTTCAAATATCTTGCCAAAGATTCTTCTCGAGGACCAGACAGGAAGGAAACCAGACTGCCTGTTTCTCTGGACCCAGAACTCACTGATGTAAGATTCTAGTTTCCAGGCCTCTTGAAAAACATTGTTATCAAACCAGGTGGGTGAAAAATACAGGACAAATCAACTCTTCACTTCAGAAAAACACTTGCTGACATGAAATCAGCCCCAAATATGTCTAAACTTTTTTTCTCAGGAATACCAGCTTCTTTACTGGAAGGTCAGACGATCTTTGCTCAACATGTAAGTGGGAAGAAAGTTACTCCTTAGAGAGTTCTGAAGATGACTTCTTTCTTCCTCAAGGCCTGATGAATGTATACTTTCAAAATGTCCAAAAACCACAATCAAGAAATCCATCCTATCCTCACTGTATTTGGCACTTAGTAAGTTGTTCAGATTCAGAGTTGAAGAGGAACCTGCAACTCAATCAGAATCAGTTCCTTTTCTATTTGAGGAAGGAGAAAAAGCTCCAACACACATGTGAATGAGTACACGTGAACATGTACACATGTAAGAACTTGTCAGTAAACAATGACATGACCTAGTTCATGAAATTATTCTTACTCAAGACCACATTGTCTCACCACACCGGCGCTGTCCTGCTGCTTAGCTTCCTACTAGGGAGCCAGGCAACAGGTGAGTGGATCAGAAATAGTGTGGCCAGCGGGAGTAAGGAAGTGATTGTGCCCCTGTACTCAGCACTGGTGAGGCTGCATCTCAAATACTGTGTTCAGTTTTGGGCCCCTCACTACAAGAAGGACATTGAGGTGCTGGAGCGTGTCCAGAGAAGGGCAACGAAGCTGGTGAAGGGTCTGGAGAACAAGTCTGATGAGGAGCGGCTGAGGGAACTGGGGTTGTTTAGCCTGGAGAAAAGGAGGCTGAGGGGAGACCTCATCACTCTCTACAACTCCCTGAAAGGAGGTTGTAGCCAGGTGGGTGTCGGTCTCTTCTCCCAAGTAAGTAGCGATAGGACGAGAGGAAATGGCCTCAAATTGCACCAGGGGAGGTTTAGATTGGACGTGAGGAAAAATTTCTTTACTGAAAGAGTGGTTAAACATTGGACCAGGCTGCCCAGGGAAGTGGTTGAGTCACCATCCCTGGAAGTATTAAAAGACGTGTAGATGAGGCGCTTAGGGACATGGTTTAGTGGACATGGTGGTGTTGGGTTGACGGTTGGACTCGATGATCTTAGAGGTCTTTTCCAACCTTAATGATTCTATGATTCTATGAAATGTACTGAAACTTTTTCTAAGTGATTTGACTGTGCCTACCTCAGTTCTTCAAGCTGACTATTATAGTATCCCATGTATGTCACAATTTTCCTGGGTGCTTTACAGTTGTTCACACTTGCTGGAGTTGCCAGTCCACTGGGGACAGAAGTGAATGGGAACTCCAAAAGCATGTGGCTCCTACCATTACTAGATTTTTCCTTTAATGCCAAATGCATGATCATCGTGTGTTGCACTGGTAAGGAGGCAACAAAGTAATCTGGAGACCTTCACTGTCTGAGCTCAGCCAGACCCATTCCAGCTCTTGCCTCCTAGCAGAATCTGATTTCAGCAAGGCTGACATCTTTTGCTAGAAGCTAAAGATTTCATCATAGCTACCTCCTCCTTCATTGCTCCGAAATAGAAAAGGGAGCATTTGTCATCTCTAGAGAAGGCATAAGAATTCCTTAATGCAAAGTACGCTCTGCAGTGCTCTAGCTTTCAAGAAAAGAATGGACAATCTAGTCCAACTTGGGACTGTATCTGCCTTCACTCATTTAGAAGCCAAACAAATGGTACAGCTCCATTTTACAGCCGCGAGTACCTAGAAACTTGGTAAAAATTGTGGTCATTCTGCCCTCCCATCTCTTGATTAACAAAGCACTAGCAGGTAAGCAGACA